GCGGCTTGTCTACCCCCCCCGCCAGCTCCCTCAGCACCCTCGGGTGGATCCCATCCGGCCCCATAGACTTGTGAGTATCCAATATATATATATATTTATATATATATCAGAAAAAAAGAAGGATGTTTTCTATCCTCACTAGAGAGGAGTAGTAGTCAGCAGAGTAGAACAACACACAAAGAAAACCACAGCACAGGGGCATACAAGTCCATTCATCAGGTAGACATTTCAGACTTTAACCAGTGACCTCAAGGCCTTGCTGCCTCCTGCAACCCCTCCGAACCTTCTCAGTCTATCAACCGACCAGGCAGCCTGTGTTGCTTAATTAGCCCCATGACATGCAGGCCTGTATAAAATGGGAAATAAAATCAAAACAAACCATGTACTCAAACTAGCCCAAGACACTAAGTTATTGAATGCGCATTACCGATCAGATGATTGTACTCACATGGAACAGTTTCTCAGTCTTCGGAAATACTGCTATAATGTCATATAACCTTATATTTGCAGATGTTGATCTCTACAAAAGGAGGAAACAATTATTACCTTGAATTCTGGCAGATGCCAAAGCTATGCACAATGATTACAACCAAAATAGTAAGAAAATCCCTCTTTCAAGTACTAGAACAAAGCCAATAATCATCCAATTACATAGTAGGTCTCTGCTGTGAGCCATACTGTGAAGTCATTCATTCTCATTTTGAGGCTTGTCCCACCCACCTAATAAGGCACCTACACCTTTTGCTTCGGTCATGCAGCACTACAACATCAGACACAGGGCTTGCTCATGGTCTTCTAGTTTATGCACAGAAGTCCAGAACTCGACGAAAAGAACTGAGGAACAGAACTGTTGTCCCATATTGACAAATGATCAACAGAAGCCATATCCAGTCTTGTAAGTCTGCATCTCTTCATGATCACATTGGCTAAAGATGCGATCTGAGAAATCACTGCTGAGTGTCCTATAAAATCCACGAAGTTCTCCCCACACAATTTCCAAAGTTTCATTCATTCATTGAGAAAAGGAAATAAAAATTGAAAAATTAATATACTAAATATACTTACCAAGAGATTACAGTGGGAAGGATCAGAAACAACAAGTGTTAGCCGGGTTAAGACTTTAATTCTTTTAGATGTCCCCTACAAAAAAGAAATAATACAAAAGACATAAAAAGCTCCAAAGCAAAAATTTGTGGTGACTTTCACCCTGTCCACTATAAAAAGAAAAGGGTGCCTTGCTCATATTCTTGCCTATACTAATTTTCTAAAGTCTGTAGTTACGCTTCCTTATTTTATGTTGATCTGTTTGATATTATACCTGCCCTTTACAAAGAACGACTTACTGTGTTTCTCTGAGGAAGAGTCAATAGAAAGGAGAAAGAAAGAAAGAAAGAAAGAAAGAGGAAAAAAACTTAAAATCATGCAGAAAAAATGAGTATGTTTTAATACTGTTATGGCTCCCCAGGCAGGCCACAACTGCAAGCAAAAGCAGTTCCTGAATTAATGTCTGTCAGGGATTTGAAATACAGACTTGGTTCATTATATCCAAATCTGACTCCATCAAAACCAGGACGTTATTTCCAAAACTGGAATTTCAAGAATTATACTGTAATTATTCAACCACAAGGAAATTCAAAATTCACACGAAGCAACTTCTTTAATAATTTCTAAAATAACGAATAGAGCCTACTCTAAGGTGAGTATATTGTTCTTCCAATGCTGGGAGTTTTACCAATCAAGCAATGGACAAGTTTCTCTTTTTTGATTAACATGTAATACACAAAATCACATATACAAACACACCAAGGTGAAAAAATGTAACTCAGAATAATAATACATAGATAGAACATAACTAGACATACTTGTACAATAGGCAAAGATGGAAACAACTCTGAAGGAGATACTGGCTTGATGATTTCCTTAAAAGAGAACAAAACAAAGTTATTCAAAATGTCATGGGTTAAGTTTACAATGTAAACAAAAGCTATGTTCCAATCCTAAAAAGAAATTTGCCATGCTAACAAAACTATTTCGCAGGGACAATACATGGACGATATTAAAAGTTAACTCCAGGGCAATTATACTGAATTATAAAATGGGGCTTCTGTCACAAATGCAGACATTTGTACTTGCGTCTAGATGGGCATTCTGCAGATAAAACTATTTGGGAACACGTAATAAGGCATGTAGGTTTACAAGAGAAAACACACTAAGAACAAATAACCCCAACAAAAATTACCTGTTTCTTTTCTTTAAAATCGATGACATGATTAAGAGCAACCACAGAATATCCCACTAAAAAAGTAAACACATAGTAAGTAAACACATACATTTTGTCCAGTAAACTAATGGAAGCAAGTCCAAACAGAAACCTGTTAAACACTCATCACTTAAATGTCTCAAAATTAATAATCACGTGCATATTTACCTTTCACATTATTTTTTCCTGAAGATTAATTCACCCAAAAAGTGCCTTAAAAGAAAAAAAATGCTGTTTGCCTTTTAATACACCCCAGCCCTGACAACACCTACTCGATGTCTGGGCTTTATGAACATGAATACTTGGGGTTGGGGTCCCCAAAGATTTTGCCCTATTTTGGTCCTGTTGATGATATTCTTTAGGGAAAACGGTCAAGGACATTCAGGATAGTTGTTAAAACTGCAGACAACGCAGAGCTGGGAGAGATACAGCTATAGGAGAAGGCAAGGTGAGCGCTGAAAATAATGCTGACAAAATTGACAAGAAGGTCTCGCTCAGCAGGGATCAGAGGATGATGGTACACTTGCCAAAGACAAATCACCCCCCAAACACTGGACAGGCAGCACCTGGCTGTACAACAGTTCTGCACAAAAAAAGATCTAGGCCATAAGAAACTGCAGGCGGAAAACTGTGTGCACGCTGGGGAAAAAACAACTGTTACGCTGGGATAAACAGGCAGAGACAGAGCCTGCAAGACGCAACACGAGCTCTCCTTGCTACTCGGCACTGGGAAGACCTCGGTCCTGGTCACTTCACTTGCAGAAAACCCCAGGTTGAAGAGGGAGAGGAGAGAGGAGAGAGAGAAAACGCGACCCGCCAGGGAAGCAGACGGAGAGGTTTAGCCTACGAGGAGGGAAAACTCAGCCCAGAGACCCACGCTGTGCTCACAGCAGCCCGGCGGAGCTGCGGCTCGCGTCCCGCTGCCCTCCCTCCTGGCCGGGCCCAGCCCTCCCCAGCTCAGGCCCACCGGCTCCTCTCCGGCGGGGCTCTGAAGGAGATTAACCCTGGCTCTGAGGGAGATTAACCCTGGCTCTGAGGGAGATTAACCCTGGCTCTGAGGGACTCTACACAGCCGAAGCAGGGCAGGCCGAGGCACACCGCTCTCCTCAGAGCCCTGTCTTGTACCCACCAGGTGGAGCAGTAACCTTGCTCGACTGAAGTATGGTAATAACTATGTTGAACTAGTTGAGCTCCATCTGAATACTGTCAATCAAAAAAAAGGAATCCTTACTAGCTATTGAAAGGTCTTCTGTTTCCTATGTTAGCTAAAAAAAAGTGAAATAAAGCCCAAGCTGCCAAGGCGAGAGAGAGCCCCTGACATGCAAAGGGACTGAGGACTTGTAATAGACCAGTAATCAAATACACACTCACTATGTATCACTGTTACAAAAAGCACAAATACCGTTCTACCATTGTTAAATAGCACAGGATATGTAAAATACAGGTGGCAATTACCACTATTTTTTTTTTTTGTTAGGGGACTCACAGCAGCTGCTAAAGAGAGCAGGTCTGCGATTCCCGTCCAACTTTAGGTGGCACTCCAGGGCCTCGGCCCGGCCGGGAGTCCTTGGCTTTCTCTTTCTTCAAACTGGGCTAAATGTGCATGAAGGGAAGTCTGGGGGGTATCTGGAGCTCTGAATCCTTAACGAGGCAAAAATGCTTCTAACCAAGGCCAAGGTGTTGATGCTGCCAACTCTTGGTATGTCCCTCCTTACGGGGTCTGTCCTTGGGGCAGCTTGTGCCAGCTGTGCCTGGGGACTTGCGGCTCATTTCTACCAAAGAGATCACACGGTTTACAGTGGATGAGCAAAACCCAATAGTGCCTGCTTGGCACGTTTCTGGCCTTGCTGTCTGATGAGTAACAAAGACCTGGGATGGTGGTAGCAGAGAAGCTACCTGCGGGCTGCAGAGACTGGACTAGGAACTCAGGGCAGCTTTGGGGGTCGGTAGCCTGACACATCTCTCTGTCAGGGAAAAGACATATCTCTCTGAAAGGGAAAAAAAAACAACTGGTAAACTGTCTTTGTTCTTGCCACATCTATGGCAGCATTTTGTTCTTAACAACATTGGGTCAAGATATTTCAGTAAAGGAGCTCTGTTTTGGCCTATCTGCATCCATAAGGTGTTTGCCTATAATTGTTGCCAGTCCTGCTTCTCTGCTAGTTGTTCGAACAAGCAGCATAGCCCGAATGGTGTTCTCAGGCTTTTCTTTGCTGTGTGTGAAAATGGAAGAGCTCGAGGTATTATTTCAGGTTTTCTTTGACTGAGTGCATGATGGAACTTGACTTAATTTGTCTTAATGAACGTAAGAAGCAATCCATAAACATGTATCAATTGTTTTTGAATGGCCCTACTGCAGCAGTGTTCAGAGACATCAAACAGGATTAAGCAGCTTTTGTGTCCGGCAATATACAAGCAAAACAAACCTTTCCTCGAGGTATTTACAATGGAGAACATTTAAACAGACCTTTGTGCAGAAGATCTGCAGAACCCTATTTGCTGTAACAGTGTTAAGAATCTGAGTATGAAGCACTTTCAGCATCAGGTATCATGAATCATCTACTCAGACCAGTGTACAACCTTATTTCCTACATTAATTACTCAGATCTTGCTACTTTTGTTTAGGCCAGCCCCAGTGATCTACTTAAAACGTCTTTGTGGTCCTCGCTGCTAAGTCACAAGCTTCTAACGTGCTTTGTCTCATCCTGAAGTCCTCCTAGTGGAGCCAGATCTCCTCCCTCCAGGTGTTTTCTTTCTCAACACACTTAGATCTCAGGGCGGTCCTTTCAGTAAATTTTTATGCAGAAACCCTAAGAATTCTTCTAATATGTTTTCAATGGGCAGCCCACGGTAGCAGCTGTTAGATGTTTTTTGCTTTAGTTCCGCGTTTAGCACTTTCAGGGAGTTGAGATACTATTTGGTACTATCTCAGCAACTCAGTAACATGAATATCATGGTCGCTTTTATCATAACCTCAAAACCCTCCTTTGTAAAGGGGCAGACTGAATTTTCAGGGATGGGAGCTCTGTTTTTCTGAGCGATACAGAATGTTTAGCATAAATTTCACTTTAATTGTTTGTTTTCTTTTCAGGTGGCTGCTTGCTGTTGTTAGTATTTGCTGGTTCCAAAAAGGGAAGACATCATTTCACATTTAAGTTGCACAGATGCGAGCATTTATTTTGGCAATGATAAGAAATGCCAAAGATGAGAACGGTTACCTCTCTGTTTTACTGCCACAGAATGGTGATGATTTTTTTTCACAAAGACAAGAAAAGACAGAAAAGAAAACTGCAGCTGCAACATCTTTGCTAGAAGTTGGACAAGAGTGTTATTTGCTAAACAGTACACGCTGGGAATAAAAATCAAGGTTTCAGTATATTTGTCCATGGATTTCTAACCAGTCTCTGGTAAAATATTCTAAACATTTTGACAACGTATTTCCCCAAGGCAGAAGAAACACATACTTTATTTATTGTTCCCAACAGCAGGTCCTCACCAGACATATTGGTTTCCAAGAAAAGAAGATGAAAACGAGAGGAAAGGAAAAAAATTACAACAGACAAATGAAAACAATAGTTTATGAAGATAGACTGGCTCAGGCACAGAAGGACAAAAAAGGGGATGATAAGAAAGGAAAAAGAGTGAGAAAAAATTCTTCTCTGTTTATTTATTACATTGCATACTTACGTTGTGTTACCTTGCTACCATGCATCCAAAAATGAATTAAGAAGGGGAATGTAGCAGCGCCTTTAAGTTTTTATGCGAAGATGAGCATGGCTGTTGTTTTCTAGAGGTGGTTGTGGGGGGGAAGGAGTTACCATGCTGGGCTGTCAACGCTTTCTCCTCCGCTGGTGAAGTTCTTGTGCTGCACTCCTTGACCCATTTCAGCCAGAGTGCTCCGAGTTAGCAAAGCCCTGCTGTGTCAACAGACTCTGCGAGCGTTAAGTCCTCCGGAGAGGGACGAAGGATCCAGGATTTAGTGCAAGTTCTTTCAGCACAAACACTTTGATAGATACAGTCTGGCCTCACTAAATCAACATGTGCTGGGGAAATTGTATTTCCTTAGCTAGCTCCGACAATGTCTATCTTACCTTACCTCACTAACATGGGGGCAAAGAATTGATACCAATACCCACTGTTACATTATACACTTAGTATGAATCACAAATGCAGAAGATGTTATGTGATTAACACTACTTCTGGAGGAGGGCAAAAAAATCAAACAAGTTAATTCTTTTTGGAGAGGAAAAAATAAAAGAAAAAGTTTCCCTTGCCTTTTTTGTTTTTTAGATCTGGAACATTTCTATATAACAAAAATGAAATATCAAAGATGAGATTTGCAAATAAAGTACATTATCAGGTCTGAACAAAATAATTTAACTTCAATAAGTGCATGAAGAATGAGGGACCGAGGGCCTTAGCACAGAGTTGTAGGTATACAGAAATGTGAAGAGGCTTTTATACATAGAGAGCCTAAATTACTCAAAGGACAGGATGTTACTAAGCTCAGCCAGAAAACTGATTTGATGATATTTATTGAAGCCTAATGGCAGGTGAAAAAGTAGTATCTTGGGGAGGCGGGGGGAGAACAAGTGTCAACTTGTTATTCTTGACACCCAAGCAGCCATTTGTTTAATTTCTGTATGCTGTCTGGAACAGCACGTTAGAATTTGTAAATTGGGTCACTGAAGACAAAAGCGGGATGTACACGTGGAAGGATCAGCTCCTACCTTCATGTATCATTATTTTAAACACATAGAATAGATGTAGTCCCATGGAGTGGTGGATGCTCTCTGCTCTCCCAGACACTGGGGATGTGAAAGCCTCTAAAGCCCTCAAGGAAAGCACCTCACCAGATTCAGCCCAGCCCTGGAAACTGGAATGTTATTTTAGGTGTGTCCCAGTGAAAAGCTTTCACAGAAAACATTTTAGAGAGGTATCAGCTGCTTCATCTTGCCCAGGTTTGAGGTTTTCTCTGCAATAGTAGGTAAACCCCTTCTATAATGGTATGTAGATTGACTTAAATTGGTTTGTCTCTTCAAAGATAAGATTATGAGAATAAACACAAAGAATGGTAACATATGACCTTTGAGAAGGAAAGAAATCAGGCGATTAACTTCTAATGAACTGTATGGGAATTTAAGGTACAGAACAAAAGATGCGGCTAAAATCCTCCTTTCAGGTTGGAATGGGTAAGAGTAACACGCAAATGATCCTGTGTATAATCCACTGAGTACACTTAGAGAGTCATGTTCCAGAAATGTATTGAAAAGCTGTCAAGAAGAATGACTGATTTAATGAACTGTGTCAACACATTTGCAGGAAGCGCCAGATTATAATTTGCTCTGCCTTAGTGACATTTTAAGCAACTGAAAAATTGCTTTTACAGTGAGTATTAAACTGTACAATGTTATCAGCTTTTATGATATGAATCTATTTTGAACAAAATTTACCCAGTTCCTATCTGCTTAGCTGTACTTCAGACACTATTTTTAAAAAATGCATTCACACGAGGAAATATTCTCTTTTCTCCATGTTTTGCCTTAATGTTCTAACTTATTTTGATGTACCCTTGCCATTTCTAAAGATCTTTTTCAGCCTAATATTTGCTTCGCTGGGGACAAGGGACAAAGGACTCGCTTTATCACCCTGGAGGGGTAAGTCACCTCAAGCTCAAGGCTCATGAACGCATTCTGGGTGGTTAAACAGGGAAAGCTTTTACTGTGAGTGGACGCAGTGAGGCAACTAACAAAGTGTAAGAAAATACGTGACTGAATAGGAAAACACTTTGAGCTTGATAATGGTCAAAGAGCTGCCCAACTAGATCTCATCCTTACCATGTGAAACTTGCTTATTTTATTATCTTAATCAAATCAAGATGTGGGGGTGGAAGGGAAAGCAAGCAACTGAAGTCACAGTCACCCTGCTCGCTGCCAGCTGCATTTCTGACCACAGGAGACTCTGTGCTCAGATTGTGTGGGGCACATCTGACCGCAACCCCTCAGTCCCGTGCACGCTCACAGGGGAGATGGGCCAGTGCAGAGTCACGTATGATGGAAAGCCTGCTTTCAAGAGCAGGTGATGCTAACAGAATAGAAGATTTCATTAAAAACAAGAAATTCCGTGAGCCAAGAATGGAAGCCTCAATTGCTATGGATTTGTGTTTCAGTAGTGCCTATGAGTGTCAGATGAGTTTTTTTTCTGACAGCTGGGTACTTGTTAGGTCTTTCTTCAACACAGATTGTTATGCCTGTATGATGTGAGCTCATACTGCAGCCTCTCTTACTTGCTGGGCCACACACAGAGTTCTTCCCTCTGTCTGCTGCATACTGAAATAAAACTCGCTATAGGGTTGCTACCTGCAAGACCTCCCCTCGTTCAGACATCACTGACGGTGGTCAATGGTTACTGATCCATGTGGGGTCAACGGTCCTGCTTGCATTTCCTCTCTTTCTCTAGTTCATCTGGCTTCTCTCTTGTTGGAAATGTAAGGGGACACTCAGGAGCAGGTGTTTCCTGTTTTTAATCCTTGCTGCCTAGCATGTTACCATACCAAGAGGTGTAATCTTCTGCTGGCATCCCATGGGTAACTGACAGTCCAAACAGTTAGTGTTCACCCCACTCGGAGGCAAGAACACGGCTTAAAGAACGGAGAAAGCTAGTGAGTCCCAGCAATGGGCTAGTATCCAAGAGTTCAAGGAATCTCTGCAGGAAAAGCAGGTACTTCAAAGCAATGGGGTTTTGGTGGTGGTGGTAGTGGTGTTTTTAACTTTACTGAAAGGGTTACACATGGAACGGTGAATAAATTTAAAATAATGCTATATAAATATTAATAAAAGAGAAAACATAGTTGTGGGATTCACATTCATTTAGTAGGAAGGGAGAAATCTTAATACTGAGAATCTCTGAGCTTGAAGATACAGAAATACTGCAGCGATGACCGTGTTGTTGGGGGTAGATCTTACAAGAGCGGCCACTATCAACTCTCCACGCAGCAGCCGGGGTCCTGCCGGACCCAAACCTTTCAGCACGCACGTTTCGACAGCGGGGACAGAGCCCGATCTTGATGCGGGGCTGCACCGGAGCGAGCGCGCCGGGAGCCCGTCACCCCGGCTCCGACCGGAACAGCTCAGCCTGCGGTCGCTTCTGCTCGGGGCGCGTCCACCCGCCCGCAGCTTCTCGGGTGCGACCTATATATACACACACACACACACACACACAT